TAAATAATCACAGCAACTGCGGGGCACACAGTCCTAGCTAGTTTTCGGTATACAATTACGTTCTTTGTTCTTAGACGAATATTTTATTACTACTCGTAACAATTAACTTGACACTTGAAGGACTATTTCTATTTCTCTAAAATGTACCTAAATATCAGAAGACTTGTAAGCTTTAAACTGGATTGCATGCTTAATTAATCTAAGGTTAAATTACATCACTTACCTACGAAATGGACTAATCGATACCGAATTTGTAAGATGGTATTTCATTCGGCAAAGCATCCCTTTTGGTATACCAAGAATATTGCAATCAAGAAGTCCAAAATAATCCTACACAAAAGGTAAAGTTTTTTTATTATTTAAAAACTCGTATCTGATCAGCTACAGAATCATGTAGAAGTTTTTCCTTCGTAAAACATCTGGTTATATAATGAATATTGACACTATTATCCATACTTACGTATAAAGTGACTTCAGTCGGGTTTTATCCTTGCGGTGGTAACTGTACCTAATGTAACTTTAGACCTGTGGTACTTACGGACAGAGAGGATCTTTACATATACCGTTGCAAGCTAATCATACTGCAAATGCATAGTTGTACTTTACGACAATAACTACATGTACTTCTATCAGCAACATTGTCTTTTAGTGTAAGTTTATATTTTATTGTTCCTTGTGTTTATTTACATGTGGACTTTACGTTAATGAAATAAATTTCGAACGCTATAACGCCGCTAATTTAGAATTTCAGGCAGTTTGATGCGACATCTGTAAATTATATAAATTTTATTATATTTGTAGTAGCGTCCGCACAAAAAGTAATGTGACAAAATCTTCATGTTTAACTCGTGGAGATACTTATGTGGAGTAATTTATTATAAATAGGATTATTAGAACATTTTCTAATAGTACGAAAGATACGAAAAGCTATTTGTAATTCATATATTTCGTAACGTTTCCATTGGAACGTACTCGCGTGAATGATTCACATGGGAAAAAAATAAAAAGTTAACGAAGCGACAACCGATCACCGTGACAGCTGCAAGGTCAAGGTGACAGATACTCGGACACACACCTGACAGAAATAGACTCATCTCCGTTTACCGTCCCTTTTTAAGGTCCTCCCCGTCCGCTCATGACACTCGCTATTGAGTGTGCCTGAGGCTGGAAAATAATCATATATCCACCTCGCGCTTCGCATTCTATCGTGTGACAGGAACATTGACAGTACACGCGATAGCCTATTACGCAGAATAAGAATCGCCAACATAATTTTAATTATTATTGTCAATCGCTCGAGGCAATTTTTAGCTACGAAATGGCTCAAAATTATATTTCAAGGTTCAATAAGGGATACATATATTATATGAATATAAATATCCGCATTAGTGGCAGTAAGGCTTTGACTTTGGCTATAGCTAAGTCTCTTAGAATACTATGGTTGAATAACGATGAACGAGCGTTTAAGAATGATGATTATGGATTTGGCAGTAGTGTTACAAACTTAGTCTTTTATATACCATTGAACATGTAAAAATAGTATAATTAAAAACGATATATCGTCATAACATCGCTAAGGTGTCGTATCTTGTAGCTAAAGATTTACGCGGCCGCAACCCAGGTCTGTTTTTATTAAGTCTCGTGTTTAAATTATGTTCTTAATATAATATTGTTATTATTGTGTCAGTGATATGCTTCGGTTATTGTTATTGAAGTTTTCCAAGCTGCTCACGTACCACCAAAGCAATTGATAATGTACATAATAATCATTATTATCTGTATACAATATTAATAAATTACTACAGCTACTTAAAACTGATTATAGATCGGACGTGTTTTGATTGAATAACCGGTGCTATGTAGTATACAGTCACGTCTAAATATGGTATGGTAAATATTAAAATAGTTTTCGTATAAAACACCTTCAGTATTGTATAATTTTACCAAATTTATTACTCTGTAATTTAAAAGTTATCAAGTACTAATATAATCATAATAAAATGGATCCTATAATCAATTTAGATAACGTAAAAGTGGCATATCAAAACGCATTTCCATCTACATTTCCCGGTGTCTAAAAAATTAATAGTACATTTTCGGAGAAATGAAATGTTCATGTCCTGGTAGCGAGCAGCACTCAAACGAGTTATCTTGTGTGACGCGTAGCTCGTCCGGGCCTCCCGGCCAGGCCCTCGGGCCCTCCCACGGATGGGCGGGGCCGCCCACCTCTTGAAACAGCCTGTTCCGATTTTTTTTTTCACGTCCCTACTCAGTTTTGATGGGAATTTCCCGAATATTATACCGAATATTGATGATTAAATAATTCATATAAAATGCGATTGATAACTCGAGTGCTCTTTCAGTTCTTTCTTCGTACTGGTCATTAGACCTTAAGATTGCAATTTAAGGGTCGGTGCAAATCACACTAAAGATCCGCCAAGCGTCTATGGAAATATGTATGTATTTAAAAATTGTCAGTAGGTCATTTTAGGTGATACTAGGTAGTAACAAGGGTTATTTAACACCCAACTTCAGACAGACTAAAATACTAATGTATAATATATATATATATATATATATATATATGTATTTTTCTTTTTTGATGAATAAAAACTCACTGCAAGTACTGGTGGTGGATTTGTCTGAATGCGCTGAGTGGACTGTCTAACGAATTTGTCCCTGAAAATCGTGATTAATATTACAAGTGGATCCCTTGAAATCAGGAGTATAAATCTTGGTTGATATTCTTGATATCGCTGTAGAAAAAAACCCAAATTAAAATTTTAAAAATATCAAACAGCTTAAACCTAGAATAGCTATAGCTTTAAAATTTCTAGTAGTATATATTTTTTTAATTATTATGAACAACTACGATAAATAAACTTTTAAACTAGCCTTTAGCTGAAGTGATTCATTTTCTCAACATTGTTTGTGTGGTGATAACACCTGTGCACTCATTTATTAAAGGTTCGTTTATATCGACAGACAATAAGCGCTTCAGTCACGTGCCGGCTTAGAAAAAACTAAACGCGTCAATAATTAATACTTAATATATTAAACTCATTTGTATCTATAGCAACATGACCGTACGGACAATAATCTTTCATATATATTACTAGAAAAGCTAAAATAATATTACTAGTTTTATAACAATCAGCAAAACCGCCATTTTCATCAGCATTATCAAGAGACCACAGTATTGCCATATCTAACAATTAAAGCTACCTGATTTTCGTGTTTAAATGTAACACGATGAATTCGAACTAATTGTGTAACTAAATAAAATTTAATGTACCTAAATTGACCTAAATAAAACAAGTTGAATTAATTTCCCTCAGTTTCAGTTGATACTCTACGGATTGATTTACACTGAACAGTATTATTTATCTTATAACTATTATTTTTATAACACATTAATTGCACAATTTTCACGTACTTCTTTTAAATTCCGCCTGGCACACTGCTAAATTGTGACACAATTATAGCTTACTAAACATAGAAGTCTTTGACATAGATAGATATGCACACCACCAGAATCCCATAGACCCCCCACAGATGCAAACAGACACGGACACGAAAATGTCTGTGCCGGCACATGTCTGGCTTACTCAATGTCTGAAAATATGAACGATCCTTTATGTATCCCTATATCAATGCTTCATTAGAGAAAGCTCGTTATTATACAATATTTACAAATAAAGAGAATATGTAAATAACGGTTTTTATGAAATTGCGTGGTTCCATAAAATTATGTGACTTATTCACAATTATAAATAGGGATTGATCGGCTCATTTGTCAAGTTATTTCTGTATAAAATACATTGCTTTTCAATAACGAGACCCTGTAATAATAACCTAATGAGATTACGAAACGGTTTCTATATAACATTTTCATTAAAATGTACTTATAAATCTTAGTTTATAAGAACACGTATAGCTTAAATATGAAATATATTTATTACGCGTCATTGATGTTCTGAACAGTTTTATGAAAGTGCCAAAACAAATATAATATAAAGAAATAAAAATAAATAAAAATTACGAGACATGCGAAATTCTAACATTCTGTGATAATTATTTAAGTTATTCTACTTATTAACTGTCTTGAAAAAGTAGGTTATCAGTTTGACCTGTATATAACTTAGAGTAGCTCGGTGGCGTAGTGGATAAGCGCCGCGGCCCGCGGTCGTAGTCGTTAAGCAACTTTCGCAAGGGTCGGTCACGGGATGGGTGACCAAAAAATTATTATCTCGAGCTACTCCGTGCTTCGGAAGGCACGTTAAGCCGTTGGTCCCGGCTGCATTTGCAGTCGTTAATACCCTCCAATCCGCATTGGGCCAGCGTGGAGGGTCATGGCCCATCCTCCTTAACCATCCATAAGGAAGGCCTGAGCCCCTGCAGTGGGGACGTAAAAGGGCTGATGATGATGATATCTAACTTTGTTGGAAACACGAAATTTGATTAATTTACGTTATCCTTAATTATATTCTAAACGCATGTGCTATAAAAGTATGTATGTATTTATCAATCAATCAAAAAATAATCAATCCAATCTGCATACAACAATATATACCTAATAAAATGCACTTAGAGCTATCTTTTCATCTGGTATTGCAGTCACTTTATTTCGTTACAATATGTAAAAAAAAACTGACCATGTGCGAGCCGCAACCTCACTGACTCACTCGCGCAAGAGAGGTTTTCAGTATTTTCTGTTATAACGGCAATAGAAGTACGTTACTTGTGAAAAATTTAATTATCCTAGATCACGATTCATTAGATACAGTCTGGTGATGGTGACAGACGGAGAGATAACGGAGTCTTGTCGGGTCTGGTGTATACTCTTTGGATACGAAATCCTAAAAAAAAACATGGATTTGTCGTTTTATTTGCAACTGCACCTTTAAAATTAAGGTGATTTACAATATATTTTTCGAATCCAATTAATCTAGTTTTAGATTGTGCATTTATACAATAATGCCTTAACCAGAGCACTATAGATATGTCATCACAGAACTCCTGCAGAGCGATTTGCACAAGATCATCGTGTCACCTCAACACTTATCCGCCGATCACATCAAAGTCTTCCTGTACCAGATATTAAGAGGTGAGTCCACATTACAGTTTCAGCTAATTAAATTTATTATACGTCATTTAAACGAGTAACACTGAGCAGTAACCGTATATTAAGAGCGTTAGCAAACGTCGCTTAATTAAATAGTGAGGTTTATAGTTAATAATTATCTTTTACTGCTCTGAGTGTGTGTGAAGTTAAAAGAGCATTAAGATTATTATAGTGCCACAGCTAGAATATGTTATTCAGTAAGGTCTTTATATAATTTTGAATGAAAAATGTTTAGCCAAAAATATGGTTTAACACCGTTGTGGTTCACTTGAAAGTAATGGAACAATGAGGCCGGTTTCCGGTTACAATAATATTATGACAATTACCATTACTGCAATGTCAGACAAATAAAAGACAATCAGTCAGTTGCACAAACATCCATTAAAAATTATTTAAAGCGACATTACCGATACAAATTTGACATTCATTAGAGCTCCTTTAAGTCATTGAACCTTAATAGACGTTTCTACAACTGACCGAATATATCGTAATAAAACATCTAAACATAGTCAAAATAAGATTAAAAAATTGCAAAATTAAAAAGTTATTGATATGCCTATTCAATGTTATAAAAACTAATAATCTGCAATTTATAAATTGGCCATACAAGTAAAGTGATAATCACTGGATCTTCTAATTTATTGTAGAATCGTTAAATTCTCCCATAAATTTTACGAACTGATTAACTTTTTAAATATGAAACTGACTAACTTTTTGTTCATGCTCAGACATTATCTTTAAGTAAATAAGCTGTATTTACCACCTTCAAAATTAACTTTAGTAACAAAGTGACTCAAAATATCAATGTGGGAGTGAGCGGCGATAAAACTATTCATAATCACATCGAGAAATATAAAACCCTAAATAGTTTTATAACCGATCATGTTGTTGTTATTACTAACCAGCCTTGGAAAGCGTGGGGTTCAAACACACACAGAACGTGCATCTCATTGTTATTGTTTTGAAGCAGTATCTATAAAGTCTTGTGGGACCTTTTACGAGATAATGTCGGTTTTATGATCAATGGGTATAGTTGTTTAATGGACGCCCCTGCCACTAAAGTAGGCAACTTTTTCCATTACGTTACGTGCTGGATACAAGTAATCTTGGTTATACTTTGGGATTTTGTTTACATTTAATATGTGAATAGCGTTGTATTTTGGAGTATGAGCAATTTTTTGGGAAAAAGGTGAACCCTACTTATAGCAAACGATTGCCAAAAAAAAACAGATCTTATGTAATCTTTACTTTTAGTAACTGCCACTGTACGAACCTTTGTTTGTGTTGTGTTTATGTTTACAAAATAATGTTGACATCTCGGGTCAAAATCTTTTCCTGTCTGGCTATGGTTAGGCACTACCCTAACGTGACACGACACGAACATACAGACAAGGGGGACCATTTACCTACCATGAAACAATTAGAACTCTGAACATACCTAACCTAAAACTATTACCTACCTTTTACTACATATAATTTATAAACTTTTTAATATATGCTGTCTTTTCGTCATGTCCTTTCGTGGATTTTATAGTTTCAAATGAAACCGTTTTATAAATTATGTGAGCAAGAATAAAATAATAAAAAATGTACTATTTAAAAGTCGCTCAAAATCTAATTAAAATAGTTTTTGTGTTGACATCTCGCTTACAGCTATGCAACGACACATTATAATGCAATTCACTTTAGAAAAAATGTAACTTCATCACATCCGGCGTGTCTCCCCTTATCGCCTTATATTAATTTACTCAATTATTCGTGCACTTTTCAACAGATTTCCCGGGAGTAAAGTGCTAAGGGGATCTAGAAAAAAATGTGCTCGTTAAGCCCCAGAGCTCCGCGCGTTTAATTAAAACTAGGTACATAGTTGCGTCATCTTGGTCGTCCGTTGTTTAGTGATATATCCAAGATGTTAGATGATAAAAATTTAAGGCCACATTTAGTCTCGGTTATCTTTTGATAACTCAAAATATGGTTTACCTAGGAGGGTAACATGTGGTGTATTGATTCTTGTATTTGTGTAAGATTTCCACTATGAGCAATACTCACAAGACACTTGTTTTTGTTATTTTTAAGATTTATATATTTAATACAAAGAAAATCATCTAAATTTATTTATTAATAAGGTTCTAATTGAATTACCTGCTGGCTCATATTTACCAAATGTAGTTCGAAGATTTGCCATCTTTATTTCAGAGACTTAATAATTTATTCAGCCAAAACAAATATTTTCTGTGTAAACTTTGCTTCGATGCCGTGTGTCGAATAAACTGTTTTCATTAAAGATCGTAGCTTAGGTAAATAGATTAAAAACTTTTAGCTACCTGCCTAAAAACGAATTTCCTCAAAGGCTTTTCTTGGGGTTTTCCGGGGGGCTGATTTTGTAATCAAGATCCCTTTCGTGTATTAAAATTTTCAATTCTTTACGATTTGTTAAACATTTTAATTCATATTATATTGATTTGTATTATCCAAATCTTTATGTTTTAGAAGAATATTTTCAAGTGAATTGACCAAGTATAATAAATGAGAATAAATTTTTATCTTTCCCGAAAGTTTAAAATATTTGTAAAAATATTTATTTCAGCTGTTTAGGTGGATCACCTGAACATTGATGAAAATACGTCCTGTAGTAACGGAAAAGTGACAAGTACTTAAGATTACCAGGGACAAAGTGGATCTTTTAAGCATTTTTCATTATAAATATTACAAGCAACATAAAGCGATAAATTCAGCTTTTATATGTTGTAGCAGTAGTTAGTAAATGTTATGCATAGTATCTAGATATTATACATAATGACACGATTCACTACTTTGGCTGTAACATATATTTGATAGAGGATCACAACGATAACCGATTACACTTGTAGTTTGCACACAAAGGTCTTTGTTGCGTATATCTAATGCGGCCGAACGATTGTATCGTATTCGTGTGAACAATCCAGGGGGCCAATTCTACTAAATAAATTTTGTTTAAATCGAATCGAAAACGGATCGAAACCGAAAGAAACTACAATTTTTAATGGTTTTCCTATTCTACAAAGTGGCATACGATACAATTCCAGTTCTATTTTAGCTGTAATTGTATTGTATGTCACTTAGTAGAATAGAAAAACAATTAAAAATTGTAGTTCCGTTCGGTTTCGATCAGTTTTCGATCCGTTTTCGATTCGATTTAAACAAAATTTATTTAGTAGAATTGGCCCCCAGGAAACGTTCGCGACCACTGCCCGGTGCACCGTATGTGCCATAAACAGATAGCGTATGGAATTTGGAGAACGCGCGCGTCGTGAACGTGGCATGCTCATAATTGATGCGGCCTGCACGCGAGCGGAAGGCTATATGGTAATGGACGTCGCACACTAGAGATATATAACAAGTAACCATTCGGACGATTGAAATGGCATATTAAATATTTTCAAAGTTAATGTTGCTGTATAAAAATACTTAAAAAATAAAACCGACTTCAAACTTTAAAAAGTCATAAATAATACTTATCTTAAAAGCGACTTATTCAAGAGAATGCTATTCAAGTGGAGGTTTTCTGTAGGTATAGGGGAGATGCTGTGACCTGTCACACAGGTTTCTACTGAAGCCAATTTCGGGCTCCAGTCTCTCGCAAAATTAAGATACAAAATATTTTTAAGAATCTTAAGACTCACATGTAAGTACATAATTTTGTGTTGTGTTATTTATAATGATAGGCATTTTCTTGAATAAGTCACTCTTGATATGAGTTTTATTTATTGATTTGTTACATTTTCACTCACGCTATCCATAATTGAAATAACTTTCAAACGGTTTCATGACGTTTGTATTTAGTTTATTGACGTTTCAGATCTTTTACAGGTTCCGTGTTCACATAAGACAAAGGTTTTGATTGTCTTTTTAATTAAAAGTATAGCTTTCAAAACAACACTATTGAACAAGTTCAGAATACAATATATATATTGGAAACGTTGCCATTTATAAAATTAAATTATTTTAAAAATACATTTGACTTGTTGATTTACCCCTGGCTACCGTAAACTACCACTGGTTCCTAATTTGGAAGTCTTGTCTGAGAAGAACTGGCGAAATAAACTCCGACTAGAAGAGTGAATAACTCCCTTTTTATATAACAATTTTTTAAAGTTTGAAATTGCTTCTATTTATTTTAGTTTTTATTTCATGCTTTTTAGTGGTGTTGATATTTTTATATAATATTAAAAATGACGCGTGGTCCCCAGGGAACTGCTTATTTTGATATCGATTCATATCACGACACGATGACACGGATATAATTATAATGACAAATAGAGTAGTAAACAATCGTTACTATGGTAACGTTTTCATACCCTATACAAACTTCCACTCCCATTGTCATGTAGATTCGAGTAGGTGTTTTTTTTTTTAAATCGTTCCAGTAGTTCCGGAGCCAATTTATTGCAAACAAATAAAGCTTTCCTCTTCATAATATTAGTATGGATAGTGATCTATGTAAATAAAAATATTCAACATAGTGAGTCTTACAAAATGACATTTTGTTTATTTCCTCATCATAATTTTTTACAATAATTCTACACCTCTTTCATCTACGAGAAGCTGCATAATTCGAATTGGACATAGGCTAAAATTTATGAAGGCGAAGGCGCGGTGAAACAGCTAGTTTGATTGAAATTGGAATTCAAGATTCACAATTCAAGAAGAAATTAGTGGACTTTCATAAAAAATCCTTCTTTCGGATTTTGACCCCTGTCCTCTTTCCATTAAACTATCGAATAAAAAAATAATTTTAAAAATCAGTCAACATTAGGCGAAATACATAAAAAAAAACTTATCGCCTTTGAACATATAACCTCCTTTTGGATTTTGAGGTCGGTTAAAAATAACGTTCAAATAAATTTTAATTAAAATTATAAAGAAACTATTTCGTACTTCAGTGACGACACTGGATTTTAAAAGTCGGAACTCTAATGCCATCTGTTCGTATAACAACAGCG